TCAAAAGAATACTTTGTCGAACTTTTGCGATTTAAATGGTCGACATTCAACTCAGTTAAACTTTAAATTCTTTGCCAAGTAGAAGCAGATAATTGTATTTTTATTTTTTGCGTTTGTTTATATTTTTAGGGCTTTAAATAAAAGAATATTATCTAAAATCAATTTTCATGATTATTGGAGCCTAGCCATTGGAGGGCTAATTTAAAAATATACCGTTTTAGTTAACTTGCGCTTTTAAGCCATATCTTGGTATTCACAAAATGCCCCAAGAATTAATTTTTTTTACAAAATTTCACAAAAAAAATATATGAGAAGAAAGTGTTTTCATCTTCCTGGTTGCAAGAATATCGGGTTATATGATTGTTCATATTTCGGTGTATTTTTTTATATGAAAATACATTAGCAGTTTTGGGGAGAATGAGTTTTCTGTGAGCGAGCTTTCATGGTTGATTACATCGTTCGCAAGTTAATTTTACACACCCACAAACTAATATACTCGCGAAACAAGGAGTAAAATTAGTCTGGCATAGGGATTTTTTAAGAGACTTTGAAATTTCAAAAATATGATTAATTCAGTAAGTTATTTAATAAATTGAGTGCAGTGAGTGGGTATCAAATGAAAGAGAAAATTATGTAGAATTGAAAAGGATACAATACAATGGACTTTTCAAATAATTTTTTGAAGCAATCATATCTTTGAAATTCCTTTACAGGAAAACCCTGACATCAGAGATAAAATCTAAAAACGCAGTTTTATTATACGTGACCCTTAGTTTTGTAAACATATTGATTGTTTCGAGTGTTTCGAAAGTTTTTGATTTTAGTCGCACGGTGTTATCCATTAACTCAGCAGTAAATAGATTTTCGACAAGTAATTTTTAGCAAAACAAAAAGCGACTTTAATTCTCATAAAAAAAAGATATATGTATATATATCTCATGATCCAATGATCGCATCTAAACCATTAGTATGGGACCACCTCTGAGACACTACCTTTCCTATGCAAAAAGAATTTTCGAAATCGGTTGACGTGGTCCAAAGTTATGCAGTAACATACAAAAAAAAAAATATTCCGACGAACTGATAACCTCCTCATTTTTTGGAAGTCAGTTAAAAAGAGGCATACAATGCAGGCAGTTTGTTAGGTGTTACCGACAAGCACATACCCATTTTAAGAAAAATCTTGCGATTTTACATGTTTGTGTTAAGCAGATCGTGTGTGGGTATAGTTTTTTTTTAATGCGCCTACCTTGCTGTGTTTTTTTTTAATTGTTTGCTCGTAATTGAGCTTTAAATAGGACGACAACTGACGCGCTTACACAATTTCCCACGAAATATTTGTCATAAATGAGTCCCTTTACTTATTTATGTACGTAAAGGTAGCTATACATACCGTTAGCTTAATAGAGAAAGGCCCTATCTCCCATCGTCGCTAAAATACAAAGATCCCTAGCTAACTAAAAATTTAAAACCAACATTTTGATAGATTATTATACATTTCAATGAATTATAAGTCCCCAGTGGTTTTAAGCAATAAAAAAATTTTTGTTAGTTACGTCCCTTTTGCGTTTCAGCGACGAAGTGACACAAGGCCTTTCTACACTAAGATAACGATGTGCATGCATTTATTAATGTTTTTATTTAAATATGTACATATGTATGTGAATAATTGTAGTAAGTCAAACATTCTGAAAAATGCACATCACCGTTTAAAGTAAAAAATCGCATACCGTCACTCTGCAAAACCACGTATCTAACATTTGTGCCAAAAAGGATATTTGATCAACGGCAGCCCCTGGTATCAAGCCTTTCCATTCGTACGCTAGGGTGGTCAAATAAAACTAAAGTCGGAATTTCCATATCAAAAAATATACCCCTATTTTGTGATTTTGAAATTAAAAAATATTTGGAAGTCGCTCAAAGCTGTTAAAGCTTTCCAGGTATTTTATATGGGAAAAAAAGAACTTTTCATAGAAATGGCACAGAATTCTTGTAAATCAATAATTTACCATCGGAAAACTCTGTTTCTCTTCATGAGAGTTCCAATAATAATATTCAATGATTTTCTTAACCATTTTTTAGTACTAAGGATTTTCATTGGTACCCCCAGTTTCAACTTGGCCTAATTTGATTTAGATTTTTGGCCACTGTGCGCCATTCAAAATTAAGAAAAAATTCTTGCACGGAAATACTCATAAGATAGACCACATGTATGTATATATGTGCATTAGGGTGGTCCAAAATACAAAGGGAAAAAGTTTTTTGCAATCATAAAAAATTCATGTTTTTTCAACGAATAAGGATATTTTCCTACGAAAATCTTAAAAAAAAATTATAATATGTACATAAATATTTCGAAAGTACTGCATAAAGTACATCCACTCTAATATCAAGATTCTTCTTGCGCTAATGAAAAACATTTTCCAAACGGCTTAGTACAAGGTTTTAGAAGCCGCATTATCTAAGCAAAAATAGCATAATCTGTGGGTAATATGGAGCAAAATAAAAAATATTCATACAAACAAATTTTCATTTTTGGGCACTTTCGGTGCGCGTTTCCGACCCCAAAAGATGACTTTATTTTAAAACCATTTGTAATTACGTTAAACTAGTCAGGAAATGCGCTATAAAAATCGCATGGTCCTCAAAACTTACTCAAGTCACAGAGTGGTGTCGTCTAGAAATTTTTATAGAAAATGAGTTCAACTAAAAAGAACGAAATTCCAAACAACCACACTCTCTAAATTTAGAAACGTAAAAATCTGTACAAATGTATAAATGTATAAATCGTGTGAGCCGCGCTTAAGAAGTATTTCCGGCTCTGCTCTAAAATGTATGTATGTATTAGTGTTGCTAGTTTTTTTTCAGCCAAACGGGACAAACGCATAATTTGTCCCAAAAGTATGGGGTTTAAAAAATAAATGCGGGACAAATGAGAAATAAAGGATTTGCTTTAAAAGCCCAACTACGAACCATATATTAAGAAAGGTGATCCATTTCAATGAAACAATGGTTAGATTAGTATAAGCTTATGACAAATTTCGCTTAATTAATGACAACACTTTTTAATTTATACAAAAATATTAATGTACGTAGACATATAATTGACAATACGAGTAAAACAAAGTAAGAGATACAGTTGCGGTCAAAATAATAGCAGAAAAATTAAAAATTACGCTGTTGACCACTTATCTTTATTTATTTCTTGTTAATAATTTTAATTTAAAATAAGGGTCGATGATCTATATATATACCACATAAATAAAGGTTTCAAAGTTGCACAAAATTCACAAAAACTAATTAAACTTAAAAAAATTTCGGTTTTGTTCAATTAGATTTCCTATAAAGATTTCGAGTATGTGGTTTTATAGCCCATTCAATTTTAGTACAATAAAGTGCAAGTTTTAAGTCGCTAAAAGTTATTATTGATTTTTTTGATTTTTTTGTGGTGCGTGTTGCGTATTTTTTTCATATAAAACTCAGTTTTGTTCATGCGTTATATGGAAGAAAATTCGCAACAACCCCCAACAAAAAAATATTCTAAAAAATCAATGGTAATTTTTAGCTAAATTTCTCTTACTGAGTTGCATGAAATAATGCTTGCTAATGAGCTACTCACAATGGCCGCGTTAAAGCAAGACCATGTTGACTAGAAGTTTACAAGTTGAAAGGACTAATGAAGCTGTCGAAAATTCGGAAAAAATCTTGTCCCGGCGGAACATTTCAAATTTAATGCAAAATATGGGACGTCCCGG